ATATAAAATATATATTATATATATGTATATTTCTTTCCTTTTTCTACTATATATACATCGGAAAAGGGAAAGAAAAGAAAAGAACGATCACGGCGCGAGCGAAAGCGTTAGTCACAAAGGGACGAGGGAGTTATATCCATGAGATAGCACTTGCCTTAGCAGATCCATTAAAGCACCCTCGAGCTTAAATCACCCTCCTTGCATACAAGAGCACGGCAAAAGACACTCCTGTCTCATCTCGTTCGATTAAATGTCTCGAATTTCGGACGCTATCCGTCACATCAAACATACTTCGAATGCGTTCCGTTACGCACTTGTTCAATATTTGATGGACAATAAGAAAGAACTGATGCTTACAGCGTGTGAGCATAAGAACGGAATGAATGGCCGAATGCGAGCGCAAATCACGGGATGGATTCGCACGAAATTTCGAGCGAGAAACCGGACAGAATTTTCAAACGAGACTGATCGTTAGACCCTTACCTCTTTTTTACGCTCGAAGCAATATATGCGCGCTCGTTATACGTCTCATTAAACGAACAGACCGCCTCCGTTCTAAATGCATTACCTGTGGCACAATTAACTACGGATCAGCGATTAGAGAAGGCAGGCGATACTGGCGAAAGAACCTTTTTACCTTACTAATTTTATCCGTAATTTTAATGGAAACAGTAAACGATCGCTTTTCCATGTACATACAGAGCATACTATAGTATTTAAGATAAATTTTCACCTAAAGTCCGATTACACCTGCATTTTCTCTCATTATATAATATGTGTCTTCTAACAAGATTTTTATCTGACGATAATGACCGAACACTCAACTACGCGCGATCGCTCAAAGTGTGAATCATGAATCGCGTAACGCGTGTACTTTGTGTACGACACGGCGCGGTGATACGTAAGAGATGGGCTTCTCTTCGCTCGAGCGACGAGCGCGGCAAATCGCTCGTTTCCTGTCGCGCACGAACGAGAAAGTTCATTCCTCCGCCGTCGTGCATTCCTCGCGAGACACGACTGCGACGTTTACAGCGACGAGAAAATAACGGGTCTTCTTTGCTCGAGACTGCTCGATCTGAGTTTTGTTCTCTCTCTCTCTCTCTCTCTCTCTCTCTCTCTCTCTCTCCTCTCTTCCTAAATACGCTTGTATTGTGTGAACTGACAAATCACTCTGCTCTGAAAATTTATTTGTATTCCATTTATCAAAATTTTAATGGAATTAAATTTTTGGCGTTTTTTTTTCAATATAAGTTCAAACAATTTAGTGAGCGAAATACATTGTACTTTGCCTTTCTAATACTTTATTTGTTCTCAATGACATACATGTGTGCAATCAGATCGATTATTATAAATTTGTTTTATTTTGCACGCAACAGTGATTAATGTATTACGTGTCGCAAATTCGCGCTACTCGATATACTTATATCACTTTTCGTCATACAACCGTGAAGTTAAAGTAAAAGTTGTAACAATGAGATTATTATAGGTATGGAATCACGTTGCGTGATATGACGAATGAATAGCATAATATGGCTCATGTGTTCGAACATGGCATTTTGCGTGCCGCAGGCTCTATGTAACATACGTTTCCGTGCTGATAAGATTGATAAGGTCTCGACTGGTGGGATTGCGACTTCAGCTCGTTTACGCCCAAAGTATTGACACGTTCAGTGATAATTCTCACTTAAACGTGTCGCCACGCAAATCGTCACTTGTGCTATTTAATTATTCATCGTAGCGTGACAGTACGAGAGCGGGTTTCGATCAAGAAACAATAATGCCTGGTAAGCAGTGATATTGAATACCGTAAAATTTAGATGTAAACAGGTAAAAGTAATAATCAAATTACGAAGTAAATGCAAAGTTTTATTTTAATTTTAGAATACGATTTTTAAAATTAAAGAAGAAAGACGATTCTGTTTTTATTATGCATTATATATTAAAATAATAAATATGAATATTTTAATATAAAAATATAAATTGAATATTTTAATATAATTATTTTAACAATTATAAACTATTAAAATTTCTTAATTATTTGTATTTGCTTTATCTGATATGAAAGTTTTCTAATAAATATTTCACAATCTAACACGGTTTTATGATTATATTAACTATATATATGTATATACAATTGTAATTACAACAAAATGGTTTCATAATTGTTTCATTTACTTATTAATCATTCAAAAAATATTATGAAGAGAATAACACAGTACAACACACATTCCCTCTCGTGAAAAAATCAAAGAGATTCTGAAAATAGATTTAAAAAAAAATACCCGTGTCACGGTATTTTACCAGTTCAAGTTAACGTTTTTTATCCAGCCATTTATTGTATTTGCTTCATATTGGCTTTTTACAATTGTTTTAAATTATATAGTAATTTTTTAAAATAAATATAATTGACATTTTTGCATGTGAAATTATGCGATGAGTCCGAATGCAAAAAAAACAATTGAAAATGATTTTTTTCCATATATTTTCAAATTTTTGTAGAATAATAATAATACAATTAAAACCATTTGTATAATTCCGGTTTTGTATCAGAAAACAATAGACCAACAGTATTCACCAAGCATGTGTCTGATGTCTTTTCCTTTGAAGCGTTTCTCAATGATCGCAATGTCTTGGTGAAAGCGTTCACCATATTCATCACTGAATTCATTCAAATTTGATGGAAAAAATCCAAATGATTGTGAAGGAAGTGTATTTTGAGCGACATGTTAACTTTCATTACATGAAAAGCCGAAATCATTTCAGCAACAATTTTTTTGTAGTTGTCGGCTTTTTTATTGCCCAGAAAATTTTCGATGACGGCTACCAAACCATTTCCATGCTCGTTTTTCCACTGTATTCAACAATTTACGGAAGTCTTCCTTTTTTTATCAAATCATTTTGATATATCTGAACCATTAAATACACCTGAATAAGACCATTAACTGAATACGAATTTAAAATAATTAAATAAATGCTTTCCTAACACTTTCAGAATCTCTTTGAATTTTTCATGGGAAGAAGAAAAATCAATTTTTGTCGTACTGTGTAATATTTCGATAATTATCGACAAACATGATAAGTCAATGTGAAAGTGAATTATCTCTTTGTTATCTTAAATTTGTTTTTTTTTTTGTAATAGAAAGTATGATAAAGTTTCCTTAATAATCACTGTACCGATTACTCATTTATTTACTTACTTGTGAGAATCGATACGATGAATAATCGATATGATAAGGAAGCGCAATAAATTCTGATTGGAAATCTTGAAATACGTCAACATTACGAGTGACTTCGTGAAAGTATCGTGAGAATTTATTGCAGGATACAAATGGGTTAGATGGTCGTCCTATGCCGACCGTAACATGATGATCTCCATCGGCAGGGACCTGGACGGTATGAATCTCCTCGTAGGTCGTGCTATGCACCAGGGTGATATGCTGCCGGCGAAAGTGAAGCCAGATCATGGAGTTGCCTACGTTTGCCACGGAGGTGCCGAGCACATGAAACATGACTTCGAGGTATAACAGATCGCGAGAAACGAGAGATTCGATTCTCTTCGTTATTTCACACGTTGACATCGAGCTGGAATTTCAAACGAAATTATCTCTCTTCCAATTACGTGAAATAAAGTTCCAATTACACGCCATTGTCGTTCGAATGCCATCAATCGCATGTCAATTATTTTCATTTAGTTATCTTTTATGACATCGTAATTTTAATCAATCTGCAATTACGTAACATGAACTACATTTTTATGTATTTCTGCCTCCGCATCGACAGTTACGAGCGTACTGGTTTCATAACGCTACCGTTCCTCCTTTCCTTAATAAGCGAATTAAAGAGTTCGCGTAAAACCTTACGTAACGTAGAGCGCACGAACGTGTTTTATCTCTATATCCCTGGCGCATCTTATTTCGATGGCGAAGATAAGATTACGACTGTGCGATCGAGCGAAGTGTGTTAGTCACGGATATTTGCACGGCGATATTCTAGAAACGATCGGGCGCATTTTATTGCCCTGACAAATCCTCTTCCAGTTTCCCTCCATTTTCGCAATCATTTCCTTCCTTAATGAAGTCGTAACAAACCCGAGACACCTTTTATACGAATGAAAACGACGTATATAATTTAATTTATTATCTCGCCAACATTGGCAATAATTGTCATCGTAGGATATTCACTATTCTTCATAAAAAAGGATAATAGTGGATAACCCTCCACTTTCCAGATAGGACGAAAAACGAAAGCATAAGGATAGTAAATGCAGAACGAAACGTATCATTCAGTATTGATCGGTAGCGGGATTCGATGCGTTACTGAAGTACATCCTTCGATCCCGCATTAGGCGGACCCTTTGTTTGCTATTTGGCGTGCACTCGATCGCGCTCGTCCGAATCAATTTCTTCTCGGCTCGGCTTACACAGCCGCACGATCGCTCGCGGGCTAATTCTATTTGCGTCGGGTGGGGTCGGAAGGAAAGTGCAAAGTACGTCGCTTTGTTGGCTGGATTCGAGATCCCTTCCTTCTTTCCGTCGCGAAATCCAGGCGGATGTAATTCGAAACAACGCTGGCTTTTATATCTTAGGTACTGATGCCCGCCCATTTCAATTGGATTCGAGCGGGTCACGGTCACGTACCGGAACATGCGGTGGAGGCCGGGAGGACTGCAAACGGGGAAATGCTCTACGTCGGCCGTACTTATCACAATGGTGCACCCTGCGTAGGAAAGGTACGCTAGGAATTGGAACAATTGGGCTCGTTCAAGCTGGACAAAGCTACTAGCTTGCTCGCCGAGTGATTGAATGTGATTAGTTGCATCCATAAGTAACAACCAATCATGTTTATTTGCTTGGCGAGCAGACTAGCCGTTTTGCCGACTTGAACGCGCCCATTGTTTGAGTTCAACTGCTCGTTAATTTTAGCGAGACTGGCTGCGGGTTGATTTGGACGCTCACGCGCTTTAAGCGCTTGTAATCATCATTCTGTCTTTATCGTTCATTAGACGTAAAATAAGAATAGAAATACTGAAAAGCGCTGAAAGCGTCCAAATCGACCGCAGCCATTGTAGCATTGGATTTAGACGTTTAGACGTTTGAATGCGTTGTAAGCTTTATTCTATCTTTCGCATTTATTACAAAGAAGATATAATGAAACTTACAGCGCGTGAAAGTCCAAGCCAAAAACAGTCTGTGGCTGTTTTCCACAAGGAATATACAGATGACACAGTGTAACACTGTGTTCAATATAAAGTGTTCCAACTATGACATGGTGTTACTCTGCTCGAATGTAAAGTTATAAGTACAATATATTAGTGTTGTCAACTTTTTAAAAAATTATTTAGTAGCCATGCTTATTTTGTAATAAAACTGCGATCCTGAAAGAATTTTATAATTTAAGTCTATATAAATTAAAATCATAAACCTATTATAGATACGCTAATATATATTTGTAAAAATAAGAATGAAAGATTATAATGCTATATATCTGGTTATGCTATGAAACTAAACTGCCAACAATTACTTTACACGGTGTAACACAATGTGACGTACACAGAGAAAAAAGACTATTTTTAAATCAACCATAATATATTCATATATTTGGTGTTAAACTTAATTCCTGCCGTTTTTCGTCTCCAAAATTGATTTGTTTCGAAGGGAAGATGAATGAATACCTTAATCAAAATAATTTCCTCTATTTTCTACTTTATTACTAATTAATAATACTTTATTAATAATACTTTGATTAAGGTATTTCCCTTCGAAACAAATCAATTTTGGAAACGAAAAACGGCAGAAATTAAGTTTAACACCTAATATAAGCAAAAATATTATAATTTTGCTTCAAAGATATCAATCTTGATTTAATTAAATATGTTTTGATGCAAGTATTACTTTGTACTTAATTCAAGACTTGCTCAATTAAAAATCTCATATCAATACAAATTCAATCAAATCAAGATTGATATCTTTGAAGCAAGATTATAATATTTTTGCTTATATATGAATATATTATGGTTGATTTAAAAATAGTCTTTTTTTCTGTGTAGCGTGTCCGAGCTGGAAAACAGCCTGTAACTGTACGAAAACGATCAGGAATCTTTACATATGCCTGAATCTATTGTTTGGCAGATCCAAAGAAGTCACGGTGTTATGTACATTCCGTTCGATGGAAAGGAAATACCATACAGGGAGTATGAAGTCTTGGTGCAATCTTAAATCTTATCTACAATTATTTACTTATAGAAACACTTTACTTGGAATTGTCGTGATTGACAAATAACGGACGATTTATGATTGTAGGAGAAATAATTTTTAAATATATTTTAGGATTAAACACATTTTACGTTGTGTTAACAAATATATATGATCGAAACATTTTGCTTAATGCTGTTATTTTGTTCTTTATTTAATTACTTAATGTAAATACTTTTATGGAAAACGAAACAGTAATAAACAGTATACCGTAAATGGCGAATAGCGTTTCGAAACGTTCGCTGTGTTTACTTATGAGGCTTTCTCGAAGTTAGATTAAAATTTTACAAAGTTGGCAGCGGAGAGTCGTGAGTTCTTATCTACCCTCGTTTAGGTTCTATTAGCATGCAGAGAAAGTAATTTATCGACGCTTAAGTTAATGCGGAAAGAAAGAGCATAACAGACTAAGCCAGGCTTAATTTATACCGGCAATAGCGTCGCCATTTGCACCCCCTTTTGTAATTTGTGATTACGGAGCGTTATAACTCAATCGCGATTCGTCATGTCATTTGGGTCTTTAGATTTTATTTTCTACGCTTACGATGCGAGATGATATCACGGACATCAAATGATTCAGCGGTACGTAAAGCGTGAGTCAGAAAATGCTGTAGTTCTCTGGAATTTTACAACAAACTATTTCCCATTACGTATAAATCTTACGTTCTGTAATTTTCAATGGAAAAACGAAGACAAATATTAACGTCCAGTAAACTCTGACTTATTTTATCTACAAGATAAGACGAAGATTATGAAAGTTTGAAAAAAATAGAAATAAATTTTAAAAGAGAATAATCATATGATTATAATAATGTAAATAACTTATACTGTTTATTATAACGTCATACGTTGATAAATCGAGATTGAAAGTACAGAGTGACTCACAGAAAAGTAGTTCGGTCTAAATGTCAATATCAAAAGATTATCAATCAAAACAAATTTCTAGTAAAGAACATCGCCAGAATAATTATATATTCTATTATAATTGTATAATATTGTTAGTGAAGATTATTTTCAGTAATTTAACACGCGTAATATTCGTGCATTTAATTTTAATAAAAGCACATTTATTAACGTTAAAATCGAGATACTTTCTCTTAGATTTTACAATTGCCGCGAAGCTACTCGAGTCAATTACCATATGCATTTACCTAACCGCGGGGGTAAGTTACACACGGAGTGACTGCCTGTTTTCTTCATCAGTGGCGATTTAATTTTCACGCTCCTCAGCTAGGACCGCGCTCAAGATAAATCCCAGATGCAAATAATTAAATAAATATTGCCGACTGCGCGAGGGAAACAGAATTGAAAGCGTAAGCCGCCGTGACGCAACCAGTGGTCGTTTTCTGCCGCTCACCCGATAGATACTAAGCACGTGGCCGTTGCGGCATTATATTCCCATGGTTGGCACGTGGCCGTTCGCTTCTTCATTTCCACGTCCTCCTCTTTCTCCCCTTTGTTCCTCGTCCCCCTCATTATTCCAGGCGGAATTGTTACTGGGGATTGCGCTACTTAATATTTTGATCGAGGAAAAGTGCGCGTTTGCGCAAGGGCGAGGGACAAGAGGAGAAGGAAGAGGCTTGCCCACGTGCAACCGATCGTCCCCTTTTGATTAATTTCAGCTCGAATCGACTGACATGAACGAATACGACGCGATGCTCGACAAAAGAGCCCGGGGGCGAGCACGAGCGAGGAGGGGCTAAATAAAAAAAAATGGCAACAGCTGGCAGAGGGACCAGAATCGGGCGGACAATGCTGCTTAGGTTGAGGGCGAACCACCCCTCTCATCGCCGAGTCGCCGACGCGAGTCGATTGACACACGCGCAATCATCCTCGCGTAGTATGCGCGTTACGCCATAATTGACAATCTGGATGAGCGAAAGGGGAGCGACGTTTATTAAGCCGAGGAGAACGAGTCCAACTCGGCTGAACAGGATTTTCAAATGATGAGAACGATAATACGAGATTATTATATTGTCAGTTCTTAATTCTGAATCTGGGGAAATTTGATGATGAGATTTTTTTAAACGAGAATCAAACGACGTTTTGCGCAATTGTCGCATTTCAAATATTAAGCTCATAAGTTTAACAATAAAACATTTCGAAGAACATGTATCTTGTTGACGTTTTCCGGCAGACACAGTGTAACACAGTGAATTATTACATTCTTGTCATTTATCAACATTAAACAAGAATAAAATAATTCGTTGTGTTACACTGTGTCCTTACTAGAAAACTCTTATATCCGGATTTACAAATATTGATAAATCGTCGAAACCATTCCCCGAGATAAAAAGATTCCTTCATCCAAGTTTACCTTTTGCGTTATCGCATCAGTTTCCACGATATCGATATGTGAATGTAAGTAAATAGTGACTTACATCACGAAATAAAAGATTTCATGTCGATCGTTTTCACGTCTGTCTACAATTTTCATCGTTTCCTTTATCGTACCTTCTTCGCACTCGATTCTTTTCTTTCTTTTTTTTTTTATTACATCTGCGGTCCGGAAATCGCTGGCGCTCGCGTATCGATATACTGACTCGATAAATCCGCGCTTATTGCGGTTTACGTCAATCGTATCGTCGAAGCGCAACAACGGAAAACCGTACAAAAGTATCCACTCATAATATTGCTGTTATTCGACATGTGTGTTGAAGGGAGTACGCAAAGATTGGTCCAAAAATGTTAAACTAAATATATTTTCATGTAACTTTCATCAAATATTTTACTTATCATAGAATCATACTGGTGCAAGAACTTTATGTAGCAAATTAATAAAATAAGTGGAACCTGATAAATCATTCCATTTCTAGAAATTTGGAAAAAAGCTAAAAGACTCGCAGACTATTTGAATGACTGAGAGAATGCATTGCGAAATTCACAAAATTAGAAGGTTTGAGAAGGTAGAGAAACATATATAGCATATAAATTAATGTTTATATTTTAAATAAATTATATATACATAGAAAAGTTCTGTTTATAATACCCTATTTTTATTGAATAATTCATTTTTATTGTTTATTTATTTGTTATTTTCATTGTTAAAAACTAAAATTTTAAAAATAATAATAAAAAATCTAAATGTTTCTATGGTACTTTAAGTATTCAAAATGATTTATGCAAAGTGTCATTGCGATTCACCGATTAATTACAAAAATTTAAAACAAATAAATATTTTATATATTTACTGGACAACTGACTTTTATATCGCAATGTAACTTCACATAAATCATTTTGAATATTTAAAGTACTTGTATAAAAAAATTGAGATTTTTGTCATTATTTTATAATACATTTCTATTAGAGGAAGCACAGATTAAAAAATATTATTTCTTACTAAAATAACTTTTGATACTTTTGGTAAACTGCCACTAAAAATTTATTGTATTACTTTTTAATTTAGAATTATTTGTAATTTCTTCGTAATTTTTTAATTATTTATCTATCTATCGTAATATCTATCGTATCTCCTAAAATTACTGAAAAGAATAGAACATTATCCGAAAGGCGGAACAGCCTTTATCCCAAGTCGCCATATTGGCCCTTCTGATCATTTCTACATAAAATCTTTTCACCAATATTCTATGACCCAGTATAACGTTTGATAAAAGTTTTATGAAAATCTATTCAACATTTTAGACCGATCTTTTCATACTTCAATTCACCGATATTCTTCCTTACAATTTACGTCTTCAATATATTTTTAAAACGTATATGTTTCGTCGATCTTTTTGGTAAAAAAAAGAATCAGTTTTTTAGTTGATATAGTTACATAATAAAAATTGGAATTTGTTTCTGTAAGTTCCTTGAAAAAATGGGATTAATGTTCTAATGGAAGAAACATCAGCCCAATTCGATCCAATTCGTTCATATCAAGCCTTGTACATCGAATGTACTGTCGCGAGTGCAACACTCATTTTATTTGGGTAAACACGTTTTTTGGAAGCTACATCGGGTCACTCGTAGAGATGAATCCATCCACGCATATGGTGCGGAAGATACGACAAGCAAAACCAGAATCGAGATCCGGGTTCGAGAGCAGAGAGGGAGAGAGAGAGGACAGCTGTTCCCCCCGCTGCGTCGAGAGCACAGCGGCAGCTGCTGTTTAGTATTGAGAATCCGCCGATTCCATGATAGGGTGAGTCTATAGCCGAAACGATATGTAAGTATGAAACTGCAATCGCGACTGGTTCCAACAATAAAATTCCGTTTTATCGAGTCGAACGTTGAAGAAGTTGTAGCTAAAAGAATAACACACGTTGCCTCTCTTTCTCTTCTTTTTTTTTTATCTTAATTTTAATATGCATCACGTTGTATTCGTTTTATTTTACTTATTTCCATTTTATTTTTATAGTTACTCACATCTTCTCCTTTCCATTTAATCTTTACCGTTTATTTACCGTCTGTCATAACTCGCTTTCTCTTAAGTTTCAATTTATTTTGCATGTTCTTAGACGGCTTGCCACAGAATTTCAAACAAACACTTCATCTCTTTCTCTCTCCCTCTTTTTCCCCCTCTCTTTCTCTATCTCTCATGTTTATTACTTCTGTGCCACAAGTAATTATAAATTTTTTTGGAAAATATATTCTTATCATATCATAATTCTTATTTCACTATGCAATATTTCCTACGTGAATAATCAAATTCGAGTTCTATACAGCTATTTTCCGAGTATACAAAGTATTAGATGCAACACGTATAATTTCTTTTTTTTCATAATCTTGCCATATAGTAACCACGTAATCACAGTATCTAACGATTAAATAAACATTTTAGAACAAAAGAATGTTGAACTCCAAGTCGAATTCAAACGCATTTCGAATACATGGTCAGTTCCTAGTACTTTTTCAAACAAATGTGGAAGTCAATTTTCTGAAAATCCTGACGTACCGTTGGCTCGAGTGCTTCCCGTTGCTCTCTGTTTTAATCTGATTATATGGCACTGTGCCGATACTAATCAATTTAAACGACAGAGCGTTTCCCATTTACGGGGTCGGCGAGGCGGACGTGTGCTGAACGACAGCTCGTTTCGCGTGCTTAACGCACATCCATTATTCGCGGTCCATGCGAGTGAGCTTTTCACTGTTGTGTCTGCAACAGGCAACGCGCGCGTGGTACGCATTGCAGGATGA